TGTGACAAAGGAACACAACCTAGCGTAAAATAGGCCAAAGACACAATAATTCAAGCTCAAACAATCATGAAACAAAGGGGAAAACATGTGCAAATACCGAGTCATCATCATGCCATACAATCCGTTTAAAAAGCTAGACCTAGGTGAACTTAGCCCTGCTAGGATAAGCATTCAGTTAGCTGATCGCTCTATTGTGCATCCTAGGGGTATCATAGAGGATCTGCTGGTTAAAGTAGGCGCATCCACGTATCCTGTTGATTTCGTTGTTCTGGATATCAATGAGGATGTGGATGTGCCTTTGATTCTGGGTAGACCATTTCTTGCCACCTCCAAGGCACTTATTGATGTGCATAGTGGTAAACTGATCTTGCATGCTGGGAATGAACATGCTACTTTTTCTGTGGCTGACCCTGATCATTGTGATATGCCTTCTGTCAAACCTATGCATGCTATTTCTCACCAGGTACACGAGCCTGTCATGTACCCCCTCTGTGCATCTCGTTTTGCAGGATCCCCCTCTCACGCCTGCGCCGCCACTCCCTTCAACCTCACCACCAAACAAAAGGATCAAAGAGGAGTGGCGGCCGAAGCAGCAGGTGGCTAAGCCTGCACGGAAGAAAGGTAGAGACCACTATGAGCTGGTTCCACCTCCTGCACCACGACCACCCTGGCCATTCGATACTCACTCGCCTGCATCTTGCCGGATGGCCAGCTCAAGCTGACGATGCTGGTGGTCGCACCCGTCTGGTGCATGGCCGCAATCTGAAGCTGTACCTCAAGAGCAATGTGGATCCGCTCTTGGAGGCACCTGTTCCTGCACCCCGCTGAGTATCCACCATGGGCGTCCAGCTAAAAGACGGTAAAGATGCGCTTGTGGGGAGGCAACACCGCCACGGTTTTCGTTTATTCCTTTTGTTTTGGGTCGGATTGTAAACTTGTTTGGTTTTGGTTTGTTTTCTTTTGTTTTGGATGATGTATTATTGGGCTGACAATTGGACCTAACGGATTGTGTTTGAGTTCTTCTATTCCCTATAGCTGTGCTTTGTCCCTGACTGGTCCCCTCTCTAGTCCTCTTCACTTAGACTGGTCCGTTTCCAGTCTCATGTAGTCCGTGCACATCGATAACATTGTTCCCCTTTATCCTTCCCTCTTCTCCATTGAGGGCAATGTCGATCTTAAGTGTGGGGGGGGGGGGTGTTTCTCTTTTGACTGCATTAGATCTATTTGTGTGCTTGGAGCCTAGTCCACTGTCCAAATTTTTAACATCTCTTTTGACTGCATTAGATCTGTTTGTATGCTTGGAGCCTAGTCCATTGTCCAAATTTTTAAATTTGAGGGCTCCAAGCACGTGTTTCCTTGCAAATTGCCTGCTCAGTATGCTTTGAATTGACAGTCTCTATAGTAATGTGCAACCCAGGGAGGTAGTGTAGCACTATGGAGGATGTTGAAGTATAAGATTTTTCCTATCTAGCTCTCTGCTGTGCCAGTTGATTTTGTGAATTAGTGGAGCTAGGACCGTTGAATTCATGTGATAATGGTGACTCTATTTGGATTGTGTTATGGACTCGTGTATCGAACAGGGTGCTCATGTGAAAAATGAAATGCAGTTGGTCCTCCATGTCAAAATCTTTAAATCTTAAACATGGGGTAAGCCCAACGTGTGCGGCACCGTTCATTGCACAAAAATTGGGTTTTGGAAGAGATTTTAGTGATCCTTAGTGGGGTACTCCTACGAGGTGAAGCTAAGCCGTCTCTAGTACAAGTAAAACTTCCACCCGTTGAACGGTTTGCCTACTTGAGGATGTGTTTTTAAGGGCACGGATAGAGCTTCCGACCCCCCTTAATTTCATTGACCCTCCACACGAGTTGAGGAAAAGGAGTTAAAAGAAGTATTCTGGCGAGCGCCAGATGTACAAAAATTGCTCTTGCTCGACTAATAAGGGTCGACCGTGCGAAAGACTGCAGTTGGAACCACCGCTAAGTGAATGGAAAAAAAAAGAAGTAAAATGGAAGTGAAAAAGGGGTTCCAACGGTGAAGTGAAGTGAAAGAGCACCCCGGTATCGCGAGTCCTTGATTGTGAATGGTGTGAGTCCCTTTATCCATGAACTGACTGTCTTACTTCTACTTCTTCTCATGATCATGGCTTGAGTCTAGCACTTGCATTGAGAGAGATAGGGGACGTCTTAGAAGACCAGTTGACCTCGTAAGCTGCGTTATGATCTAGAAAATCCTCTACCGACGATCGAGGTTGTTTGTTGCTATAGAGGTCTGGAGAGTTGCATTGGTTTGAGTTAGGTTTGCTTGGGGACAAGCAAACGGTTAAGTGTGGGGGAATTATCTTAAAGGTCTCAAGAGCATAACTGCTGCTCTATCTCAAAATGTCTCAATAGGCAACGGACTGGCGCTAGTGACTAAAAACACTTAAAACGACTTCACCTTCTTGAAGGTGAGTTACTTCTTAAAAAGAACTTGTTTCTTAACTTTAACAATAACTTATAGACGGGAAGCTTTAGATTAACTAAGAACTCATGCACATACCATCAACCATAGCTCAAACAAAATCACATACCATCAACCATAAGCACAAACAAACAACGCCAATCACTTCAATATCAAAATACTTAAGGCTTGCACTTCTTGAAAGAACATGTAAGGCGTAGAAGTTACCCCCTTTACACTCACCTTGTAAAGCTGACTCCTCGATTCTCTACTCGAAGAAAGCCCTCCTAGCCGAATTATCTCGGTGAACCTATTAATAAGAAAGTCATCTCCTTAGTCGACCTTTCTCGATTTAGAACTCCCTTTTGGGTCACTAGAACATCCTCTCCTCAACATCCAGCCCTCCACACTCGCTCCCAAGGTCCCTTAACCCTCTTTAAAAATTTTCTAGAAACAATCCCTTCAAAACCGACCACTTTTCTTAATTATTTTAGTCTTGGACGAATTTTCCTCCTAACTTGAACATTCTTAAAAATTTGGATAATAATTTTCCTACATCAATCATGAGTATTTAAACCCTGGAAAATTACCAAACCCTTGTAAACTCATCGGAAATATTTTTATTTAATTAAAACGAATGTTAAAACAATTTCTAAAATTAAAAATACATCTTCAAAAATTGCCAAATTAATTTAAAGCCATCTCCTAGACCTCCCTAAATTTATAAAAAATTTAAACTCAAGCACAAACCCCCATAAAGACTCGAAACAATTTAAACCATCTAAAACAAGTTTTTGAAATTTCCAGCAGCTTTAGTGACTACCCAAATTCTGTCACTAAAAGCCTGAACGTCTGATGCTAAAACCCTAGAATTGCACCCTCACGAAAAATCACCAAATCGATCGATCTAACTCAAAGGGATCGAGTTCCCTTACCTCTAGAACGTGTCTAGGCCTAGGTTGGATGACCCGGGACGTTGATCTCCTCGTTGATCGAACCCTCAACATCACCGCTAAAAAGAACGAGCTTCGGATTAGACTATCGATAAATCGAGTTTAGATATCGCGAAGTGGTTCGTGATCCTTACCTAGAAACACGAGAGGGATGGGATCATGATCGGGATTGGGATTGGGATCGGGTGCCGGAACCAACTCCTTCTTCTTCTCCTCTCGCCCTCGCGGGGCTGGGGATTGGCGGCGGTGAACAAATAAAAGAAAGAAAAGAAAGAATTGGGGGCGGGTTTTGAGACTTGGCCGCTGCTGAACAAACAATTGGGGGTGGGTTTATTGCTTGGGGCTTCGAATGGAATGTAGAGGGTCGGGTTTGGGAAGTTGCAAGAGAGGCCGAGGGTTTGGGAAATTGTAAGAGGGCGGCTTTACTTTTCTTTGCTTGGGGAAGAGAAGCAAATAGGTCGGCTGGGAATAATAAAAAAATTGGCGGTGTTTAATTGGGAGGCTGCTCGGCCCCCAGGTCAGATTATACATATATATATATATATATATATATAAAATAAAATAAAAATAATGATTAGAGATGCAGTCGGAAATCCTTAGAGACGCAGTCGGAAATCCGAAAAGATGTAGGAGAAAGCTTGCTCTGATACCACCTGACGCAGTCGGAAATCCTTAGAGACGCGCAATCGCTCGTCTACGATAAAACAAGCAAGCCTGCAAGCGCAAAGTTTGAAAGAAAACTTCGGAATCCACCGAGAAACAACCCTTAGGGTTAGATTTATTCCAAAGTATGAAGTGCCTATTCCCTACATATCCAATGCCTTAAATAGCCAAAGACCCCAATTCCTACTCAACAATTTCTAGGAATACCAAAACCGAAATGTCTAGGAAAACTTTAAAAGCAAGAAACAATAAACAAAATAAAATCAACAATGTTTACGCATGAACACCATGCAGCCTTCGCCTCCACGTAAACAACCTTTAGTCATCGCCTTCTTTCACTTCCGCCTCCAACTCACGCTCGACCCGAACATCCTTCCCGATCTTGTCCTCCAGCTCTTCTCCTGCATCAGCTCTACCAGGGATAGTTGATGCCACTACTGTGGAATTATTGGCGGTCTGTTATGCTTTACTCCTCCTCTACCGTTGGGGATGGCATGATCATCCCGTTCAAATTACCGGAGATGCACAATTAATGTTAGAGCAGTTAGGGTCTAGCAATCTTCAGATGTTCGGTGCGGCGCAATATATCATGACGTGTTAGATCTATTCAAACATCTCCTTTTGGTTCATTTTGCTTACACACCTCGAGAGTCGAATCGGGCTGCGCATTTTGTAGCACGTAATGCCCTATACTAATTGAGTAATTGTTGTGACCCCACACGCTTATCTCGTTAATCCGCAAGAATTTTAATGAAAAAAATATGTATTAGAGAAAAGACAAAACATTAGGGAAAAGGAAAGAAAAAATAGATGGAGAGGGAGACTGTTCAATCTTTGAAAATGAGAGCATTTGAGGAGTAGAGTGGCCTTAGATTAATAAATGTGGAGAAATCAGTCGAATCCAAACAACACCCAGAATCCATTGAAAAGGGGGCACTCACACACTCTTTCTTTTTCCTCTTAATCTTAAATAATTATTGGGAATCATCTCTCTATCTTCCTTTTTCTTTCCATTTCCCGGCAAACCACAAAATTTCTCTACTACAAGAGAATTCTCCCATTTAGCAGTCTTCCCTCTCTCAAAAAACCAACAACGCACATTCTTCAAATACTCTTTTCTTTTCCTTGGTTCCCTAATCCCTATCATCATCGCATACATCTCTCCCATCTCCATCTCCCCTTTCCTCACTCTGCTGCTCTCAATCGATTCGATCCATCCCTCTGTCTGCTTCTCTATTTTGTTTGGTTCCCTCGCTGCTTTTCCTTTGCCGGAAAGCTGATCCCTCTGTAAACCCCATTTCACATCCCGGCCATCATTGCAAACCCGATCATTATTTAAGCCGTAGAATCTCGTCGATCCCAGTAAACGAAAACCCATTAGCAGCTGGCTGGAGCGGGAAACAGTCTCTGTTTTAGAATCAGTCATAGGAAGAAAGATTCTTCTCCTGTCTTTCTCTCCCCTGTCTGCAGAAATGCTTTGAATCGAGTCGTAGTTTGGTTTTCCTTCAATTTCCCCTTTTTTTCCTTCTTCGATTGGTGCTCTGTTTCGTAGCTTGTAGTTGCTATCACCGCGTTTTTTGGGTGGGTTTGTGTAGATTTAGCTTGAAGACAGTGGTGGAGTTTCTTTTGCCCTCCCATTGTAGCTTGTCTAGCTGTCTTCAAGACTGATCAAAAGCAGAGCAGAGCGGAAGAGCAGTCAATTAGCTTGAGTTGTCTTCAAGTTCGGAGAAAGCGAAACAGGGCGTTCCATTACAAATACCATCTTCGTCCTCGATCGATCGGAAGACCCAAATTGGAGTTTTTCTGTTACTTTTCTTATCCGAAACGGAAAGTTAGAAACAGAAACAGGGGAGTTTCGCTTTGTTTTCCTTTTCTTGCCTGCAACCTTTTCTCTCCTTTGGTGGCATATTTATCTCCTCTCTCCAAAAAGAAAGAAAAAACAAAAGAAGGAAGATAAACGTTAGAAAGTAGGGAGTTTTTCTTTAAAAATATTTCGATTCATCTTCGTCCCCGTTTCCTAATCTGGTCTGTCACTCTTCTCCCTCCCAAATCTGGGAATCCCTAAAAATTCTCCCGAGAGACCTTCCCATTTCACGGCCCCCTTCTTTCTCTCTCTTCCCCTGTTTTACCTCTGTTTTCCCTCTTCAACGAGTCCCTCTGTTTTCTTAGGCTTGGGGGAGAAATTGAATTTTTTTTTTCTTCTCTCCTCCTCTGTCTCTCTCTTTCTGGGCCTTCCACATCTCGCTCTTTTATTTTTGCCCTTTAATTTTTTAAAAACAATGATCTTTGGCAAAGGGTCAACGCAATCGAACCTCGATTGCTTCCTCCATTTCACAACCCCTGTAGTTGAATCTCATTCCCTGCCAAAGGTTCGTTCTTCTCTTCTTCACCCCCGCTCTTAGAAACTTCAATTTTATTAGCTGATATTAGACACTCGTGTATGATTTGGGTTTTCCTGGTTCTGTTTTGCAGTCGGAGATTAGAAACTTAAATCGGCTGTGGCATCCATGGGAGAGGGAGACGGTGGAGTACTTCACGCTGGGCGATCTCTGGAACTGCTACGACGAATGGAGCGCTTACGGCGCGGGAGTGCCCATTTCCTTGAGCAATGGCGAAACTTTAGTCCAGTACTACGTTCCTTACCTCTCCGCGATCCAAATCTTCACCAGCAATTCCTCCTCTGTCAACGGTCTCAGGTGCGTTAGTAACATTACTATTCTTTAATGATAAACACATGGAACTTCCACCGCAATTAATTAATGATAGAAAAAAATATTGTTCCATTGAATTCCTATTTCTGGTGGGGCTGTTCCTCTGTTTCAGTCGATACAGGGAAGAAACAGAGTCGGGCGACGGAGAAACGAGGGACTCGTTCAGCGATTCGTGTAGCGACGAGAGCGAGAGCAGCGACAAGTTGTGTAGATGGGGTGAGGGTTCTTCATCCGACGAAGGTTGTTTCGAACAGGAAACCCTCTGGCATCTCAACGACAGATTGGGGCATCTCTATTTCCAGTATTTCGAACGATCCACGCCTTATGGAAGAGTCCCTTTGATGGATAAGGTAAACTTTCCCAGAAAATTTCAGAGATTTATCATAAAGAATCAATTTTTATTTTGGTTTTATTGTGTCATAAGAAATCCCCAAAACTTGTGCAACTCTTCGAAGCAAATGTGGGTTGCTCCAAAATAAGGCACCATCTTCATCAGATTAGGGTATTTTTTGGTTTCCAATTCATTGATTATTTAATGTTCTCCACCAACAGCACAGATTCTACTTAATCTCTTTGAACCCTCTTATCATTAGAGACAGGGGAGGGGAGGAAAGAACTAAGAACCAATCTAGTGAATAGTGATAATGCTTTTAAGTGGTGGGAGAAGAAGAAAAATTCTGGGGTTTTTGGCTGTATTCTCTTATCTTAATCGAAGGAAACAAATGGGGCAGCGAACTATATCGACTTTGTACATTCCTCCAGATAAAGTCATGCAACTTTTGGTGTCCTATCTTTCGCTTGTGTATAATAATAGTAGTATTCGTTCATATCTATGGCTGCAGATTAATGGATTAGCTCGAAGATACCCAGGATTGATGTCTTTGAGAAGTGTCGATCTCTCGCCTGCTAGTTGGATGGCTGTGGCTTGGTAAACTTAAAAATTTGTCCTCTTTAAAGCAAAATCCAAAGTGTTCCTTTCGTCACCAATTTGTGTGGCGATCTTGTCAATACTTGGGTTTTTGTCTCTCTGTTATAGGTACCCGATCTATCACATACCTATGGGAAGAACAATCAAGGATTTGTCGACATGCTTCCTTACTTACCACACCCTTTCCTCCTCTTTCCAAGGTAATCATAATGTTGTTCTTACTCCAAAGATCGGTTCTTTAATGCATTTGGATGATGGGTTTTGTGAATTAGTTAATGAAATCAACTCTTTTAACCCTGAATTTTGGAGATCAGACATGGATTTGGAAGATGACATAGAGAAGCCAGAGAGGAAGCGGAAAGCAGGGGAGAGCATCTCACTGCCACCGTTTGGGATGGCGACTTACAAGATGCAAGGCAGCGTTTGGGTATCGGGGAATTGCGGTCGGGACCAGGAGAGGTTGGTGTCGCTGTTGAGCGTCGCAGATTCGTGGCTCAAACAGCTCAGGGTCCAGCACCACGACTTCAATTACTTCACTGGGATCAGGCGTGGCTGACTCACCAGCAAAGGCCAAACCACCAAAAAAAAAATTGAAAAAGAAAAAAAAAAGAGAGAAGGGACTAGAAAGAACCCTAAAAAAAGAAGAAAAAAAGACCCCCACTAAGTCTAACTGCCGCCCCAATCTCATTTTGCCCTTTGCGGCCAAAAGAACATTGGCCTTTTCTCCTCAGCTACTGAAAGACGGACAAAAACGAGAAGACAATGAACCCAAAACCCATTTCCCCTCTGGAAGGGGAACCCTACCATTTGTAGAGGGAGGAGGAGGGGCCAAGTTGGGTTTGTTTTGTCACGTGGTTTTGCTGCTTGAGCTTTGTCCAGTCCAGCGGCCATTTCCGTAGCGATTCAGAGCGTTTTTTTTTTTGCTTCTTCCTTCTCTCGTGTTCTTTTGTCAGTTTGTGCTTCAATGCTTCGGGTTCAGAGGGTACATTGGACATGTGAGCTATGGCAGGTTGATGATGTTGCCTTCTCAATCTCAAGATCGATCGACTGTTTATCTCTTTGTTTGATTTTTCTTTTTATTGTTTTGGTTTCTAGTTGGGTTTTGGTTTAGGGAGAAACAGAGTGTCGAGGGGGCAAAGTACAGGGGATGGGGGCAATCTTTGCTCTGTTTTTTTGTATTTTTTTATATAACTTTGATGAAGTCGTTGTTGACTTGTAGAGTTTAATATGGGGGAAAATGAAAGAGCGGATAGAAGAAGAAGAGGGAAAGAGACGGAGTTGTTATTCGTGAGAAATGACTATCTTTTCGAATGTTATCACTCTCTACTAACAGGGCCGTCCCATGATATTCGAATGTCCTGTTCGACAATTTAAAATGTGGCCCCAAAATTTTGTGTCGCAAATTTATTAAAAATAAAATTTACATATGTTCAGCAAATGATTCTAAAAGTAATAATATTATCTATTGTTGTTCAAAAAGTAAAAATCGTCTAGTAATATTTGAAATAAATTCCTCTATTAGTCCTTCCATCTTCTCTATTTCTTTTGAAAAGTGAAATCAATCCATCTATTTCTAAAATAGCATCATCAATAAACATAGCTTTGGATTGTAAATAGGGGCGGACCTAGGGCGACACCCCTATGCCAGAAAATTTTGTGAATGACCTCCATTTTGTCGGTACAAATCTTTTTAATTTGGGACTTCCGACACCTCTCTAATAATTATAAGCGACACAATTTCATTATACGATAATAATTTTAATATTATAAAGTTATTCATCATAATTAGTAATTAACAATAATAAGTAAAATCAAATAAGCATGCTTGTTTTAAGTAACCCACAACCTAATTTAACTTGTCGATTTGAAGTTAATAGGTGAATTGTGTATATTCATGAGAGATTGTGGTTTGCTTTTGGTTAATTTGATAAAACTAGAGAAAAAATGCTAATAATATTACTTTAGGCATACTTTGTTTTTTTTCTAAAATTGCCAATTAATAGATTGTAGTTTACTATATTTGATTGCAAACTATTTTTAACTTAATTTAATTTTAGATGTAGGTCAATTCTCATTGGTTGATTGACTAATTTATGAATGATTATGTAGTTGTGTATATCGAAAAAGGTTTGATTTGCAACATAAACGATGAATGTATTTTTAAAAATATATAAGGATATGAAAAATTGTCATAATTCATAGTAAACATGACGTTTGGAACTTATAAATGAATTTCCAGTAATTTCTATTAATTTTTTAAAATTTTTTTATTTATTATAATATTTTTTATCGACGACATTCCGCTTCAATAATCCTGGGTCCGTCACTGATTGTAAATGATTACTAACCGAATTTGTCGAGTGCAATATATCATACCTAATAACCAGGGCGCGGACCTAGTAAGGGGCAGGGTGTGTCGTCCGACACATCCTCGTCCGAAAATTTTGTGAATGACCTATATATTTTTTGTACAAATTTTATTAATTCGGGACTTCCTACACACCTCAAATAATTGTGAGGGACCCACATTAACTATTCTAGAATGATTTTCTTGTTATAAAGTTTTTATCTTATTTAGTAATAAACAATAATTAAATAAAATCAATTAAATATGCTCATTTTAAAGGAACCGACACCACAACCCAACAATGAAAAAAATATAAATAACTCCATCCTTTAAAACTCACCGTTTCCACCCCTTGACCCTTCCTTTATTAAAAATAAAAAGTAAAATAAAAAACTCATCCTTACCTCATTTTATTTGCTCTTGAGATTGGTGTTGACTTTATGAACTTCAAAATCGGTTGAGTGACCAATTTATGAATGATTATTTAGTTGTGTATATCGAAAATGATTTGTTTCGCAACGTAAGCGATGAATGTATTTTACAAACATTTCAGGACATGAAAAGTCGTCATGGTTCGTTGTAAACATGACATTGTGAACTTTATGAATTAAATTCAAGTAATTTCTATTTAATTTTATTAAAATTTAATTTAATTTTGTAATTATTATATTATTTCATCGACGACACACCTCTCTGACAATTCTGGGTCGGCCACTGCTAATAACTAATGAAACAATAAACTCAAAATCGCCAAATTCATTTTGTGCCAAAGATTTAGCTTCACTTCTAATTTTCAAATCACCATCAAGATCGGCTACTAGTATCCAGGCTCCTCAATTTCTCTGGTTTCTTTTACGCCCAAAACTTCCTTTTACAAATTTTTGGTTGACATAATTAAAAATTATAACCAAACATTAATGATTTTAAATTTCCAATCAATATTAAGTTCCCTGCTAAAGATATAGAAAAAAAGATTAGAACTTATAACACATTCATTAGTAGCCTGTTTAGTAGGGGATGAGCAATGATTAAGAGTTCATTAGACTTGGGTGTGATAATTAATATTTGGATGATTTTGGAAAGTTGAGAAATTTTGGGGAAAGAGAAGAAAACAGATTGAATCCTTTAACTGTTAGTTTATATTAAAAAAATAAGTTGTGGCTCAGTGGTTTAGTCCGTTTTTAATGAAAAGGAGGTCGACGCTCCGCCCCACTAATGAAAAGGAGGCCCAATTTGGCTCCAGCTCTGCTTTCGGGCTTGTGGATTAGGAGGCCCCCAAAAACTGAGGCCCTGTGCTGTGGGTCTAACCAAAACAGGGTATGGGCCAGGCCTGCCTACTAGGCTCTTTCACTAACTTCTACCAGCCCCTTAACCACCAAGATGGTCACTTAATTACACGTAGTTCATTCACTCGCTATTTGACAACTTAGATCAAGCTCATTTTGTTACTTGTAGTATGTGTACTAGTTACTTAGTTGTCTCATGTTTTAGTTTGTTAATATGCTTCTTAAGCATCCACATCAATGCAATTGTAAAAGCAATTGCATTTAGTGATCGTTTGGATATAGTAATTTGGTGTGGTAATTGGGCTCAATTTCCATATTATGTAGTAATTGGGTCCAATTATCATATTTGACTTTGAAAAAATATAATGAAAATTGGACTTTGGGAATTGGGTCAATTACCACATAAGTGGAAATTAATATTACGGCACCCCTCGACTTCTAATTCTGCTCGACGTATTCGGACATTGCGGGGGGAGTCTTCATAGGTTCGCAATTCTTATCCGGTTGATTGGACGGAATTAAGTAGGATTGAATCGGAATTGGCTAAGGTGTGGGCATCGGAAGAACTCTATTGGCGGCAACGATTAAGGGTTAGTTGGCTTCGCGGAGGAGATTAAAATACTAATTACAACGGCTACTTTTTTCGATTATGGTTAATGGCAAACCTTGGGGATACTTTTCATCATCTCGTGGATTGCATCAAGGCGACCCCCCTTTCCCCCTTGTTGTTTGCCTTATGTTCTGGGGGTTTCACTGCCATGATTGGAAAAGCAATCTCCAGACGTGAACTACATGGGGTTCGAATCAATTCTCGGTGTCCACCGGTTTCCCATCTTCTTTTTGCAGATGATTCTTTTCTTTTTTTTTCAGGCTTCAAAAACGAATGCTACCTTTCTCCTTCAAGTCCTCTGATATTTTGAAAGTATCAGTGGCCAGCGCGCAAATCTCCAAAAATTGGCTGTTTATTGTAGTCCCAAAATGTTGCGATCAAAACAGGAAGATCTAGGATCGTTTCTAGGAGTTAGATCAATTGATCTTCAGGATCGTTACTTAGGTTCTTTCCCTTTAAGGAATATAAAAAATCGAGACTTTCCGTTTTGTAGAAGAGAAGTTAATATCAGTTCTTCAAGGTTGGAAGCAACGTACTGTAACACCTTAGGAAAATCCCACATCGACAAAGCACGGGAGAGATCCATGGTTCATAAGTAAGAAACCGACCTTAACTGATAAGACGCGTTTTTGTGAGAATTCTGAAGTTAAACGTGCTCAGTGTGGAGTACAACAAGGATGGGTGACCTTATGGGAAGTCACCTTGAATTGCACCTCAAGTCAAAAATCGTGAGGGTCGAGGCCCAAAGCGGACAATATATTCGTCGGGAAAAGGTTCGGGATGTTACAAGTGATATCAGAGCCTCTCTGCGTCCCTCTTAAACGATGGTGGGGCAAACCTCAATGAGGGCGTTGAGTCCCAAGGGAGGGTGTATGTAACACCTTAGGCAAATCCCACATCGACAAAGCAAGAGAGAGATCCATGGTTCATAAGTAAGAAACTGACCTTAACTGACAAGACGCGTTTTGGGGTGAAATGGAGGAGTTCTTGTGAGAACTCCGAAGTTAAACGTGCTCAGTGTGGAGTACAACAAGGACGGGTGACCTTATGGGAAGTCACCTTGAATTTCACCTCAAGTCAAAAACCGTGAGGGTCGAGGCCCAAGGCGGACAATATCTTCGTCGGGAAAAGGTTCGGGATGTTACACGTACTCTATCTACTATGGCTAAGGAAGTTCTCCAAAAATCTGTTGCAGCTGCTCTCCCCATTTACATCATGTCGTGTTTTAGGCTACAAACAGAGTTAATTAGGTGTCTAAATGCGCACATGGCTCGTTTCTGGGGGGGGGGGGGGGGGGGGGGGGGCAACTCACGAGCATAGGAGGATTCATTGGCGCTCTCGGAAGCTTCTTTGTTCGAGTAAGCAAGCTGGAGGGCTGGGATTCAGAGAGTTTGATCGGTTCAATCAAGCTCTCCTTGCAAATGTAGCATGACGGGAACTTACGGAGCCAATTTCTCTTCTAGCTCGCATTTTTCGGGGACGCTATTTCAGTTATACCTCTTCTATGATGGATGCTACTCTTGGATTAAATCCTTCGTAGGGATGGCGTAGTGTTCTTTTTGGAAGAGACTTACTTTCACAAGGGAGTCGTTGGCAGGTTAGAGATGGGTTCTCTATCTGAGCTCTTTCGGATCCTTGGTTGTCAACCACTCCTCCATCTATTCCAAAACCTCAGATAGGGGCGCCATCTGCTTTTTCTTTTGTTGCTGCTTTAATCGATTCATGTACCAAGAATTGGAATGCTCGCATGCTTCACTTATATTTTGACGAAGCTACTGTTCATTTGATTAAAGGGATCCCCTCCCTCATTAACGAATTGCGGACAAGCTTGTTTGGCATATTGAAGCATCAAGTATTTTCTCAGTCAAGTCTGCATACCTTCTCACATCCTCTTTGCGGGGTCCTCCTCCTTCCACTAAACATCATGTTTCCTTCCTGGATCGTTCATTATTGAACTGGGTTTGGAACATGAAGGTTCCTCTGAAGTTAATGTTCTTCTTATGGCAAGGTTTGCATCGTATTCTTTCGGCTAGGGAGGCTTTGGTGGTGCAAGGTGTGGATTTAATCCTTATTTTCCCGGTTTGTGGCCGAAAGAAAGAAATGATTGAACATTTGTTTTTACTTGTTTGGTGGCTCGAAAATTTTGGAGGTTGATTGGTTTGCAGGTTCTTTGAAGGCAAGCAGAGAAG